CATATATATACATAAATATAAGTATGTATAAATAATTTTATACAACTATAGACAGGTATATATGTTTTCGCATATAGTTATATATATATATATATAATATATGTATGTATGTATGTATATATATATATGTACATGTATATGTATGTATACATATATTATTGTGTGTGTAAGTGTGTATGTATTTATTCATTTATATATATATATATATAAATATACACTTCCGTGCTTGTATACTTGTATATAGCTTTATATAAATTTATTTTATTTATTTATGTATATATATATATATATGTGTGTGTGTATATATATATTTATATAAATATATATATATACGCATATACACATACATCTATATATATATATGTATGTATATATATATATATATATATACATATATACATGGTTGTATACGTATACATTTGATATATATATATATATGTATGTATATGTATGTTTGCATGTTTGTGTGTTTGTTTGTATGTATGTATGTATGTATATTTCTATGTGTATGTTATGTTTATGTATTTCGTATTTTCACTCACACTCGTATATTTATATGTTTATAAATGTACCTAAAAATTTAATTTAATTAATATTTGAATATATTTATATATATATATATATATATATGCGCAGATATATGTATACATATATGTGTATATGTGTATTTTCGAATATATTTATGTGTTGTGTCTGCGTTTGTGTCCGCTTTTGCGTCTGTGTCTATGTTTGTTTGTTTGTTTTTGTATTGTACGTATACAAATACATATGTATGTCGATATCAGTTCCTGCATACTGAACGCTTGTATCTGTGTATCAATTCGTGCTTATGTGTATACCCGTGTGCATGGACTTGTAAATGCATACTTACATATTGCATTGTATTCAACGTTAAAAAATACGTTCATTTCGGATGTTAGGTTTAGGCGTAGTGTACCTCATTGAGTCATGACATTTATTTCTGGTGTAAATGTTAAATATTTAGTACGATAGTGAATGCTCTAGCTGCTAAATATCACTCATATATGAGATGATGTTTTACCATTCTTTGTGAAATATTGCAGATCTGTTGGACTACATGTATCAGGGAGGATCCATCGACAAGGTCGTCAGTACGCTATTCGAACGCACTCGCGAGAAGAATTGGATTGTTGCCATGAAATCTTTGGCTGTATTTCACACTCTCATGAAAGAATGTCGACGAGGATTTATGCGTTGTATGGCTTCTCGTCCTACCAACTTCCGGCATATGTATAACTTTCTTGACAAACTGAACAATGAAGGTACGTCTATTATTCGTTGATGGTACTTCTCTTATAGGCCTATACTATATCAATTTTAAATTATTGAAATGCTTTGCTTAGTCTGCATGTATGCTATTTTTCGCTCGTGGGCTCAGGAATGAAAGTATGGCGAAACGTCGATGTGCTTTCAGGAATACGTTGATACAGAATTTTAATCCTAAGTGAATGGCTGGGAGTCAAATAACAATAAGCGATAACCATAAAGCAATCAAAACTTCGAAGAAATGCATTGCTGATCAATCGTGCCTTGTCGAAATAATCTCAAAATTAGGTTTCGAGATGTCTTGGTTCATCCGTAAGTACGCAATGTACCTGGAGGAGAAGGTTGCGACCTGTCGAGAGTATGGTGTAGACTATGTTCATCATAACTCAGCGGCGTCTTATGCGCCTCTCGACAACAATCAACTTTGCAAAGCTGTGGCCGCTATACAAGTGCAGCTGCAGGTCTTGCTAGACGTCCAGGTACTGTTGCGTACTTGTTCCGGTACATTTTGTGGCCTGTGGTTTCCAAACGAGTTGCGTATAACCGTTGCTTAATAGTCACCTATCAACTCATTGCGTGCAGATTGTAAAAACAGGTGACAACATTTCTGACTGCTATTCATACTCAGCCTTTTTCGAATTCGCACGAGGGATGCGCGAGTTGACAATCTTGTACGAATCAAATGTTGTAGCATATTGAAAGGGCGTCGATAAAGGCAGACAGCTTTTGCTATACACTCGTCCTCAAAATCACTTCCTTTTTAAATTCAAACAACAGATTCCGTTCGAGGAGGTCACAAATGCGGTACAGAAGAACGCTTACATGATAATTATGAGGGAGTGTGTGCGGCTCTATGTGTCGTTGAATACGGGGGTCATCACAATCCTTGGTACAGTACATTTCTGTGTACAGGCCATGCTCCATCGATTACATTGTTAACGTAGACTCCGTAAAACAAAATATGTTTCCTGTGCTTGACAAGTACTGAGGAGGTTACTATCGTCTCTTCCGATTTAGTATATGTATCTCTCGATCTGTTCGAGCTTTGGAGATGAGGTGTCAAGTGATTTTTCTTGTAATAATGTCGTATGGTCGACTTCGTTTCATACAGAGAGGTTTTTCAAGATGTCTAAGAGTCAGGCCGAAAACGCTCTACGGATCTACGAGAACTTTCTTTTGAATATAAGCGCGGTTTCTTCATTCTTGTTGATTGGCTCCCGAATCGACGTCAGCATGTCAGCGGAAATCCCAGCTTTGAAATCGGTACGTCAGCACCGAGTGTCAAATGTTAAACATAAAACATACATTGTGCAATGTTAGACATATATATCGATTGATCCCAGCTTTGAAATCGGTATGTCAGCACCGAGTGTTAAATATTAGACGTAAAATATACATTGTGCAATGTTATACATATATATCGATTGTTCAACTGAATTTAGTTTGGAACGATTATGAAAGCAGGTTTTTTTTTAAATTCGAACTCATAAATATAGGTCCGTACTTTTTATCTGTTGACATATTTACGTGCACTATTACACGGCCATGCCACATTGATGATCGATTTACAACGGAAGTAAGCACCTATTTACCCTTCACAGAAATATATATATATATATATATGTGTGTGTGTGTGTGTATTTCTATTTCTGTATACACATATCTATATCTATATCTATCGATAAATATATATGTGTGTGTGTTTGTGTGTATTTATTTTTATATATTCATTCTTTTATATATTTATATGTATATATTATTTATATTATATAATATATAATCTATTTCTGTTTCTGTTTCTGTTACTTCTTATATTATATATATATATATATATATATATATATATATATATCCTGCTTCATTTTTCGTTTTGTAGCCACCGGTGACTCTGATTGATTCGCTACGGAAGTATGTGGGAGAGGAAGCCCCCGCTGTGGCAGAATATACACCAAGGAGCGAGAGCCTGTTCAAAACAAACAGCAATATAGCGCGCCAGGCACCTGGATTGTAAGTAGGGAGTAATGACGATGATATTTGTATGCTTGTCAACATGCCCGCTTGACACTCAATATAAGGTTACCTTTGTGTGTATACGGGCAACATGATAGAAAAGAATACCTACTGTGTGCTCCGAGGGTATGGAAGATCAAAATTATTACTTGTTTTCATTGTTTTGGTCTCACTTGCACTCGGCTTTTGCTAGATTGACTGCAAAGTCTGTAAATAATTTGATCGCCGCTGCTTGTCACATAGAGTACGCCTGAGGTAAAACTCATGCTTGCATCTGACACACTTTCGGTCGTAAATCGGGACGAGTGTGTGTAAACCGTGGCAATGTGTAATTACGCAACATGCATATCTACACTTGCACGTTCAAGTATCACATCGTGTCTTGAATTTCTTTTTCTGGCCCGTTGTTGTCTCTGTACAGCCAACCAATATACCATGGGCAAACATCGTCATCCATTAAACCTGCGGTTCGGTCGGCTGCATCCGATAGTGCAAAGACGCAACCGAGTAGGAAAGCGGGTATGTAGGAGTGTAGTGTGTAGCTCTTTCGATTTTGTGCATTATGTATACTGTGGACCGTCGCAAGATGATCGAGCACTGTCAAACGAGTCGAGCGCGGTCAAATCTTTGGTTTGTATCCCTACCGAAGCTTTATCTGTATACTACGTCTTTAAACGTACTTCTTGGACCATGCGCAACTTTAATTATGTTTCATCCAGTTTTTTCGCCAAGGTTACCAACGCGCACAGCTAATGCAATATGCACAGGTCTCATTGGGACGAGAGAATCTCTAAGCTTTTCATGCTCTCAAATATATTTCTTGTTGTTCAAACCATTTCATCATTTTTCTGTCTGATATCAGATTACGCTCTAGCAAATGTAAGTACTGTGGCGAAGCCAGCGGTGGCTGAGGTCAATCTGCTTGACTTTGATGACGGGCCTAGTACAGGCACTAGTTCCAATCCCTATGCCACTACTGATGCGTTTTCCGTCAGTGTCAGCACCAACAATCCTGGAGGCTTGCGTATGTTTTCTACGCAACTACTATAATAGCGGAAGAAAGTCTGATCTCTCGCGAGACCATTTTCGTGTCTAGGTGTGCATGCGTCCAGTTGCAGGTATCTCACCGTGATCAGAATTGCACGTAATCAGCCTCGGGGGATGTACAAATTAGCAGCAGGTTGATTTTGTGACTGACAAGTGCGAGTGTCAAGGCTCAGAGCGAGTATAATTTTCGAGTACATTCTGCTCTATTTCTGGTGTAACGGATCTGTTGATGTGCGTCGACAATATCGTCGCGTAGCTCTACTCTTGGTTCCTTCGAGTACATGCTTGTCATGAGATCTTAAGAACTTTCAAACTAAACGTTGCTTTCGCTTACCTTCAATCGTTCCATGTAGCCTCCGACCTGTTCGGACCGATCAGTTCTGGAAATCAGGAACTACATTCGGCACCTGCGCAGGGTGACGGACATCAACAACAAATGTTCAATGGTAAATGTGTCGCTGTGTCCAGATGAATGTTTACTGCCTAGTATTTCTCCTCCCCCGATTCCGTTACAGGCTTTGCATTGCTAGTGTCGTCTATTGTCTCGAACAGGACAACGACTACATTTAAAGTTTAAAGATGGACCCATTGTTTGCATCAAGAATTATGGTGAACCGCGCCTCCGACTGGTTATATATATGTAATTTAGATATGCAGCCAATGGCGTTGTTCATAGAAGCCGTCGTACGAGTGAAGAATTCCATAGGCGAAAATATATTGTAAGTTTTCAAGATATCACCAACGATCACTGACCACCGGAACATATCTACTTGCAGGTCAAGCTCAAGGGTACTACAATGCTGGAATGAACACGGATGCCAATTATAATACAAATACAATGCAGCAAGGAATGGGTGGAGGAGGATACAACAGTATGCGACAACAACAACCGTCGTACGGCATGCAACAAGGGGTGAGCATTTGTTAGATATAAGCCGAGTTGAAAAGTTCTGGCATTTTCTGATACTCTGCACTTATTATCCAATTGTTATTCCTCATCATTCTTTGGTTCTATCTGCTAACTCCAGATGAATCAGCAGCAGCCGTTTGCATCAGGCTCGAATCAGCCCAACAATTATTGCCTTAGTACTATTTTGCAAATCACACTCTTTCAACCTCCTTAAGTATGTATTCAATTGAAGTGTGTATTTAATCAATGGTGATTTTTGGCAGTCTGGGATTGAGGCATAGAATACTTAGGTAGTATACGGGTTCCTCATCGCACTAGTGTCAGCAACTTATTTTAGAATGTGATGTATCGGGATGGATCGAGGCACAACCGATCACATAATTCTTGCTATGCGTGGCGGGTTGTTTTAAGTCTGTGAACAAGGTTCGTATCACTACCACATTCTGTAAAAGCTCCAGGGTTTCTTTCATCTGCATGCCGCACTGTCAGAATTGCTTGTTTTTTTTTTGCCGTGTTGATTCATGCTCTGTCGTGTGCCGCATACGCTTACTTAATACAGCATTCACTTTCCTGTTGCTGAATATACGAAGGAAGCATGTTTGTAATTGAATGATTTCAATTCTCAATTTATTAGGGTACGCAGAATGGCATCAACTCAAATCGGTCATCCTTTGACCAATTTACGAGTCGATCGTCCTACGACCAAAACCAAAATCAATCTTCCTACGATCAAAATCAAAATGGCGAATCCAACGATCAAAATAATCCGTTTGCTATGACAGTAGCCGTTCAGCAAAACGATCCTATGCAACAAGCCATGGGAATGTATGACCAGAAGCAGCAGTACATGGGCATGGGTGGGGGTGGAGTACAGCAGCCAATGGGAGCGTACCAACATCAACCCTTGGGTATGAATCCGCGACCAAATGGGATGCAGCAAATACAGAATGGCATGCAACAGATGCAAATGGGTCAAAACTATCAACAGCAAGACCAACAACCTATGCAGAATAACAACAACAACTACCAGAACGATCCCTTCAGCGGCGCGGTGGCACGATCGAACAATCCGTTCGATTGAGATCGAGAAAAAAATGAGCAATTTGCGCCGTACAAACATTTTTGTAAATCCAGGGCAAGTAGATTACGTCTGCGATGAGAGCCTATCTGTGCTCGGGTTGAGATCGAGAAGAAAATGAGCAATTTGCGCTGTACAAACATTTTTGAAAATCCAGGGCAAGTAGATTACGTATGCGATGAGAGCCTATCTGTGCTCGGGTTGAGATCTCAAAGGCAGCAATTCCATTAAAAGTGTCGATAAGGAATATACTATTTTCGCTTGAACTGCTCATTGGTAACACTAAACTTGAAATCGCGTCGCTCTAGTGTGATTTGCGCGATGTCCATTAGTCTATTTTATCAACTTCGAATACCTATATGCTCGCTGTACAAGCTCTCTTGTTCATTTGGAGTCTGTGGCCGTTGTGAAATCTAATGTCACCGCAACATGCTTCTAGTATGTATGTGCACTTATTAATATATGCCTTTACCGCAGGTAATAAAACTACTTCATCTAATCGACAATCCCTATACCATTGTAAGCTAGGTAAAGGTTGCGCATTGTGGGCTGTACAAACCCTAAAACTGAGTTCTGATGAGAGGAAATACTTAGTATTAATTACTGTGTGGCTCTTTTCACCTTTCTTCCCTCTCGTATTAAGTGCATGAGCTAAGTCAGTCGCTTACGCCAGGCCATAGCTAATACATCATCGTGTATGCGCGCTCATCGGCAGCAATAACATGAACTGTACTATCAAGCTTTAACGTCTCGGTCGATAGGTTTACACAATTATCGCGCTCGCAAAGATACTTTTCTGCATACTTCTTTTTCTTTGAGCTCTCCCCTCTTCGAACAATCAACTCTCACATTCTAATTTCCATCGTATTCAGATTGTTCACCTCTCAGATTATTATGTTGATTCACTTTCAAAGCTAAGACGAACCTTCACAGGGTAACACCTGCAGCCTTCGCAAAGGGAATCTACAGCCTTCGCAAAGGGAATCTGCAGCCTTCGCAAAGGGGATCACGTTGCTTCGCAAAGCAACATCTGGTTGCCACTGCAATGCATTTATTCTTCTTAGCATCTGCATCCACTATTTTATCACCCGCACCACAGATCGAGTTTCGTCCACTATGCCACTTCTGTTGGCACACGGAACATACAACGAGTTTTATCTGGCGGTATGACCGCGATGAAACAAGGCCGGCACTCTTGCTCTCGAGTAAGCCAATCAGGTCTCGACATTGCTGTATATATGTGTGTAACTATGTGTATATGAAAAGCTAACAGTGTACGCCGATATCGCGCGATAAAAAACCATTTGGTTGTTTGGTATGTTTTGTAAATATATACAAATCAATATCAATTCAGACCAGGTAGAACTTAAAAGATTTAGTCTATATGTTATATCTACGTGTATGCTCCAAGTTGTCCACCATGTGTAGAATACTTGCACAAAAGCATACAGAACATTGGGCTTTTTTGTCTATGTTATACTGCTTGGTATGTCTCTGTGGCGATGCCGAGGTAAATTTCCATACGCATGCTGAACCGTAAGCTGAAAACGATGTACTATATGTTTGACTACGTGACATGTATTTTATGTTGTTCTGACCACAACTGAGGACAGTACAGGTGCGTAGCAAACACAACCGCTTATAGTGCAAAAGAAAGATCAGAAATTTTCTCCTGTATCTCCCTTCTGGGTTGTATGCGGCGACTCCAGGGTGCCCATCAAAAGTTTATAGATCATTAATGACCACATCAGGCGTACTTAACTATTAGAACCATCTGTACACGTGAGTATATAGATATATGTACGATATGTGGCCCTTTCCGGCCCAGCGATACTTTGTTCTGCAACTGTATACTACTGCTGCGGAATGGACTACGTCTAAGCGGGCAGGGTTCACGGCAATCATGATTACCATCCAAGACCTCCAACCAATAATCTTATTAGCACCAAGCCACTGGACACCAAAGGTCCATGACAGCAGATAAAAATGATTTGTATTGGGATTTCGTCGCTACAACACATGGGCGAACCATCGAAGTACTAGTCTAATCATAGTATCAATCAACTGCACAGTCAACTTGTGCATATCACGAGCCATGATACTATACGATAAATACTAGTGTCGAGTAAACTACATAGTATCCAATGCTTGGAAGAAATAGTGCGCGACTTAGTGTTTTAGAACATCAGCAATTCATTTTCCTTGAGCAAAACAGCTGTTTACACGACACTTCACAGCGCTACAAAATTGTAAAATTATCGTGCACAACCTTTTACTGATGCGATTGAGGTGATTTGAGTTCAAGAACCTGTGCCGTACTGCTATTGCTATGGTGAAGTATCGCTAGGTCACGTATCGCGCCTACAGAATCGATGTAGGAGTATAAGTAGTCCCAGCCGACAATCTGCCATTTAAGTACAATAATCATCCGATAACGTGGAAGAACACTTAAAAACACTTTCGTTTCTTTGAATTTCGTATATACTCCCAAGCTTCTCGCAGTGACTAATCATAAGACGGGAAGGATTAGGGCTTGATAGCGTGTTAATCAATTGAGAGCTATCTAATGGGCGCGTCTAACATTTTAAATACCATATAAGTGGATCCATATGTACATTGCGATACCACGTCAGGGAACAATATTATGTACATCTGTGTATAGCTTTGTACTACTCAAGAAATTTTCTTAGTTGGAAGATGTTGCGTTGAATATTTATCTAGATTAGTACACGTTTATGCCTCAGTGGTTGCTGTCTTGGCTTTGGGCTTCTTTTTCTTGTTCGTCTTTTTCTTCTTCACCTCCATCTCCTCGGCAAGCAGTGCCTTGAGCTCCTATACAAAATCACAAACGGGAATCAAAACGAATGTTTCGTGAGAATACCGGGACAAATATAATGGCATGCAGCCGTAAACAATTTCATATAATCTGACAGTAAAATTTCAATTGCGGCTATAATCAAGATATGTCCAAAAAAGAAAAACGCATTTGTCCAAAAAAGGAAATCGTGAAAATTTATCGCAAGCATACCTCCTTCTCGATAGACTTCTCGGATTTAACAGATTCAGCATCGAAAATAGATGGAGTCAAGCGAACAACACCGTTGCTTGTAAGCATAACTGTGTACTTGAACTGGGCAACCAAGGCACCTTCCTTGTCGCTCATGACAGGGTATGACTCTACTAATCCTTGCTTCTGACACTCGACGATACCCATTCGGGCCTTCTTCTCGTCGGTGCATGCTCTGTTAGCATATTGAGAATTTATCAAGATATCAGAAATGCGCATCGTTCGATGATGTCCTCTAGCCAAACATCATACAAGTCATATACAACGACAGTTCAACTTTTGGCCCCGATCAGGCCATGTTCGAGTAGAACATGTTACCACTGGACCTTTCCAAGATAAAAAAATACTCATGTCACTTTACACCCTATCGCGCACAAACGCTGACCACACCATTCAAAACGCATAAACCACATTAATGTGCCCAAAAAAATACCTTAAAGAGAAAGGCATCGTTGTGAAGTTGTTGCTGATTTCACTGTACACGGCACGACTGGTAGCCATTCTGAGCGTGAATCGTGTGTTGGTCTTCTTGAACACGGTGGTACGTCCTCCCTTCTCCACTGGCTTGCCATCTCCAGTGCTCATAATGATGTCGATGGCGAACACATCTCCAACCTCAAATTCGGCCTTCTTTGTCTGTGCTCTTCGCTCGGCATCGGGCGCCTGTAGGTGTAGGATATTCCACAGAGAAAGTCTGCATGAATATCACACCAAACAAATATTGCGAATGCAAATGCTTCGTATATGTGGTGGTGCGCACCGTATTAGACGAAAAAATCATCACCTATGTACTTCGCGCTTCATTCTTCACATTTGAGGGAATGACGGGGTCTCCAAATGCGTGTACGAAATACAACAAGTATCAGACTATAATATCAGCACATATAGCTCGAGCCATGACCTACTATGGGAATCACACAAGTACCTGCGGGATAACCTTAGCCTCTGCACCAGCTATCTCGTTCTTAGAGATTTGGTATGACACCATACCGGTAACGGCCTTGACACCGTACTCTTCAGCGACTTGATCGATTAGCTCGGTGCAGTCGAAGTTGGTCTTTTCTGTGGTCCATTCGAGAAGAGAGCAATAGGAAATTAAAATTTAAGTCGTTTTTAAACCAAACAATATTGAATCAATCAAAAAACACAAGATCAGCCGTTGTATGTACAAAGTTACAAGGATATCACTGCCGCTGGCATTAACATACCAGTATTATTTGTCAGACTAAAAGAGCCATATGTAAGAGTCTACGGGTGAGGTATACACAACCCCTACGACCCATACAACTGATAATATCCAAATACATACCAGCCTTAATGGTTCGGAGCACAGCCTCGGAGGCATTGTATGCAGCCATAATCACATCAGCAGCAGGGCCAGTGACAGGTGATGTAGCGTCCGCTCCTACAACGATAGTGGTACCAGCAAGAGCCATGAATCCGTCTACATGTGCTCCCATATCACTGTTGAAAGATAAAAAGATATGAAGATGAGTCAAGTTTTCCCTTCAAAAAACAGCTGCGATACGCAAGCAGTAAATATAATATTCACATAAACTATAAGCGCGCTTTCCGCCATCGAGGTATTATACACAATTCATATTAACAACAATAAGACATTGTGAGACAATTTAAATCGTATAATCAACTAATTAAGCAGCGTACCAAAAAAAACAGCATGTGTGTTATACTTGTAGAGATGTGAATGTTTATAGCGAACCACATGTTACCATGACGTGCTTGTCATCATTTAACTTGTACAATAATATACTATTTGCAACGAATATATCCTACAACTGCCTATGGTTACTTTACCTACTTACATATTAGGACATTCACAACAAACTTACATCTTTACCACATCGCCGTCCTTTAGCGTGACGCCCTCGTCGGAGCGGAGGGGTGAGTAGTGACATACCATTTCATTCAGCGTAATGCAGACGGGGAAAGCAACACCTGATGTGAATTAAGTTGTGATGACAATATAGTTAAGAAACGATTACAGAGTAATTCAAGAGTTTGAAGCTAGAGCAGGTTGACACAGAGTACATTAAAACGTGCATGTCCCATACTGTGCGTGAAAGCGCAAATAAATAGCTCACTGCTGTAGCCGACAAGCGGAAATCTAGACCTACGTCACTGCCCACTATGTGCACTAACATACAATACCACTTGGCCATGTACATGTACAAGCGTGCATCTTCTCCGTCTCATATACTTCCTACGAAGGCTATCGGTTTAAATAACCAACTCAAAATAGAAATCTACGACCGCGTTACGCATAATTCAACCTGTGCTTCGCGCAATACCTAGTGTGATCTACCATAGAGTTGTGCAACAATTGGATAGAGTATGGTCTTAAAACAATTGATGAGCTAACAGTGAAACAGTCACTTACCTCGAGGGATCTGCTTCGTCTTGCCACTCTCTTCGTCAGTGTAACCCTTCTTGTACACCTTCTGTGCCTCCTCGTTGACACGACTGTCCCCTACAGCACAGATTTCCACAACAGAGCATCCCTCCTTACACATGTCTACGACCTCCTTTAATACAACTGTTGGTGACAAACATAAAACAGCGTTAATTTTAATACTACTTTACTTCGATAATCGACAACGTACTTGGAATTCATTTGTCATGTAAAATATGTCTTATAACAATTGACATATACACTACTGAATAATGGGTAACATATTGAGTTATCATAACAGTAAAAATGTTTGTAATATGAGCTGCTAGTAAAATTTTGAAGTTCACTAATAGCACAATACGTGCAACATTGAAAGATTGCAGGCTATACCAAAACACAGAGCACACACCGAGTTTACTATTGCACTTTATCTTTCTTAGTGCATACTTTCATTGTTGAATACATAAAGAGCTAAATAGCAGTAATCTACGCTACCTCAAGTGCACAAGTTTAAAAATAAAGCCAGAGATTGACCCATTAGATCCATCTAGATCTCTCTGAAATCAGTATGTATGAGAACCAGCGCATGCATAACATCATTCTGAAAGCTTCACCTAATATTACAACTCATGATAGTTATATGCTGTGATAAGAATGCGATTGCTCTACGGAAAGAGGCAATAATTAACAACAGAAAATAAATGTACTATAATCATGTTCAACATAAATAGCAACTATATCAAAATGGGGAGATACAACAGCAGTGATGATAGTGTGTCAACTACACTGTGTTATACCGAAAACTGAACCAACCTGCTAGATTTATGCTTCTAGCTGTGCGATCTTCATACTGTACACAAATCAATCCTGAAAATTGAAAGAACCCACAAGTAGATCCAAAAACTGAACAACGAGCTACCCTAATAAACACGCTATACGTTGCGAATCAAAAGACACTATGCTCGGCAATATTAGTTCAGCAGCGACGCATATCCCCCGCAGACGTAATACATACCCTTCACTACTTCGGCCGCAGCCTTGTACTTGGTTACATTGTCAGCATCCTTGATCTGATCCTGAACATTCTCCTTTGGGGGTGCCATGGTGACTATTTCTTCTACGATGTGCAGATGTATGAGACTGCCAGAGTTTGTGATTAGCCTATTAGATAGTGATCTTTGCGTGTATTTGTTTGTCCAACATTCCAACATGTGGGCCTGCACTCTGGCGACTCTGCAGTCTGCAGTCTACAGCCAGTCAGCCAGCGCCCAAAACAAGTTATTTTCTTAAACTGAAAAAAAATAGATCATGGTCCATAATGATAGGTCTAAATATTATATAAGGAGACATTCAGCACAGTTTTGTGCTTAAACTCGAATAAACGACCATTAATATTTCAAGTAAAATATGAAAACGAATTGAACGTACGATATGTTATTATACGCCAATACAAAACTTTAAATTGTTTCCATTTATCTATTTATATATTGCAAGAATAGACGACACTTTCTCAATTTCCAACTTTTTAATTTGATTCATTCTATTTCAGGAGACACTTTTTATATATATTTTATCATAGAAATAGACTCAGAAGGCTATGTATTTATCACCAAAAAAACAAAACGTGTTGGTCGTTTACGTCGTGGTCCAGGGTTGTAGCCACGTCCCCAATACGGGAGCATATTCGGGCGCCCCAAATTCCCTGAATCTTTCCTTACAACGAGGTGTCCGTTGAATTTCGACAGCAGGTCAAATTTATCCTTGTCTATTGACCCGTATGAACCTTTTACAGTACAGTACATACATAAATCGAATAATAGGTGTTTACGTGCTATTCGTTCGTATGTAGCTTCTACATTCAATCACATTGCCACGAAACATTCCAGTTAATTACACCGCCCTTTCACGTTATTGCACAATTGTGATGGCCATGCTGACAAAGAGGGGTGTTAAAGGACCTTGACACAGAATTTGGCAACGGATGATTCTGGGGAAGTTATCAGGCAGATTCTTCTTTCGGTGAAGTGGCCAAAAAAAATAGTTTGAGTAGGTGGAAAACAGCAGTGGTTGCGGTGTGAGATTAAACCATACGTACGATCGCACTTTACCCCTGTTCACACTTGCATGCGATATATGAAACCTACTTACATACTTGTACCTCTCTCTCATATATATATATATATATATATATAGAGGTATATAGGTATATAGACACCCGCTGACATATCGTTGTACTCATTTGATACACCCAGAATTCGCCCCTGGTGTTGGCTGTAACACACAGGCGTGCACTTGTGGTAGACGAGGCAGACAAAGCACCCATTCACGTCACAGGCATTCTCACAGATACAGTAGTTGTCTGTTTAATGTCTTACCTGTCATTCCGCATATATACATATATATATGTGTGTGTATGTGTGTGTGCCACACCGGTGTGTCATATATATATATATATATATATATACTCTCTCTCTCTCTATATATATATATATATATGTGTGTGTGTGTTGTATGTGTTGTTAGTAATAGTAATAACTAATACAGTACATATATATATATATATATATATATATATATATATAATATTGTTATTGTTATTGTTTCAATCGGATGTTGTAGATGATAGGATTTTTTTAATCATTGCAGTGATAATTACGAACGGAAACACAATTCTATGTAGAAAAACTAAATCCCGTATCTTTCAGTATACATATATCGGGTGTTTAAGTGTAATATAAGTAGTAGGATAAGTATGAGGTGTGTGTGAAACGAAAGCATAACGTGTGTACTGATGAGAATATCTGCCTCACGGTCTATGAGACGCGACTTTATATGTGCTCATTCGTATTCTTCTTCAAAATTACGATGTTCTCGTCTCGTAAGTATCAATACTTGTGTGATTAGGAAGCTATCGTATCTTAGGAAGCTATCGTATCAAATCGTTCAGATGTTCACAAATTTAGGTATTCACTGTTGTACATATAAGATATTGCGACAATATTTTTAAAAAAGACGAAGAACACGCGTGTGATTGTATGGATTTATATGTATATATTGTTTTCCTTTCGATTGTCAACATCTGTACGGTATATATGTGCTACATGTGCGGTGTGCCTCCATTTTATTTATTTGATTGTGATATTTGTCACACCCGTGACCCGAGTGACCCGGCACTCCGACAGTCTGACACCCGCGACAGGCGTGACCGTCATGCCCTTTCCCCTTCCATCTTATCCCTCTCTCTATTTATTTATTTATATTTTAAAGGATCTGATTAGCTCAATAGTTTCGAATCTGATAAGGATTAATCAGAACGCTGATATTTTAAATATGAAATTATCCTAATATAGAGATCTTGGAACCTGAAGTTGAGAGAGATAAATATATATGAGCACTTTTTCGGACATATATAATTGGCCAAACGGTGCGATGTACCGGGTAATAGACAACTTGTGTTGAGAAGTGTTTGACTGTTTACTTTTAATACAATATGTTATTTGTCTCCTACGCCCTTGCTATTGCAGTGCTTGTATCAGCATCGGCTGCCGATCACGTGGAAATTCCATTGACCCGTGTATCTAAGCCGTTTTCAGATCGGTATGTTATACCCAAGAGTACGTTTCCACAAGTTTCTACATACATGAAGTCACATATGTGCATATATACATACATTTTCACATTTAAAGGATATATATATATATATATATATATATGAATTGTATATTTAACCCGTAATTCGATTATGTGGAGGTAGCCTTAGTCGGTTGAATCACACTGTATGTGGCAGAGTTTACAGCGGTGAACACTGTCCTTGTTGGTCGCCAGTCCCTCACCTACACACCATTAGGCAGTGTAGATAAATTTGTTTGTTTGAAAGTGGTCAATTAAATATTTTCAAAAAGCTTTTTAATTTTAAGTGTTTTTTTATGTGGGTGCTACCGACAAACGTCCACTATCAGCATGAGAATCCTTCGAGTGTCAAGCCATCACTGCTATTTTAATTGAGCATTTGCATAACATAGTTTGTCTTGACTCTCTTCACTATATCACAGGCAAATAAGCGACCTGCTCAGCGGAGACTTGTATTACCCCGCAGAAAAGGCAAATGCCAAGTTCGATCTCAGCGGAGGGGTGTTGACAGCCGGCAAATATCTACCGCCCATTGAGCATCTCAAAGGTACGTTACAAAAATATTCGAACGACGTTACGCCAGTCATGTGCGTGGTATCATAAAGATTATTATTCTAGTCTGCCTTGAATTCCAGGTTTTTACGTACATATTTAAAACACCTTCTAATTCATCATATACGAGATTCAATTGAAATACACGCATGCGTATTATTACAATTCCTTGTATAAATTTTTGAACTGAAAATCATATTTATTCGTTCAGATATCTCGAATGTCGAATATCAGGGACAGATTAGCATCGGCAGTGGGGGAGCTAGATTTCAGGTCGTTTTTGATACCGGATCTGCTAATCTTTGGATTCCATCTACCAGTTGCACTTCAATTGGGTGCTTCGGAAAGAGCAAGTACAATCATGTAGGTTGGATTGGTACAAGTGATGTTTAGAATTGATTTGATTCACATTCCCGAATGAAACTGCATACTATGCTAGGTTCTCACATGATGCTTAGCTGCCAATTTGAAGTTGTCATACACGACATAACAATGCAAACCATCCTTCGCACAGACCGCCAGTGACACCTACATCAAGAATGGAAAGTACATTCGTATTGCCTACGGAACTGGGGCCATGGCCGGATTTCTGTCTAAGGACCAAGTCTCCTTTGGTTCCCTGACAATTCCCAATGTTACATTTGCGGAAGCTAACTATATGGCGGATTTCTTCGCGAAGACACCTATTGACGGCATCCTTGGTCTAGCTTTCAAGAATGTAAGATTCTTAAGTGTTACGTGGTGCTGCAATTCTTCAATCCTTTCACGTAGTGTGCTGTTACTTGTGAGTGTTTTCACGCTGGTAGGACATATTAGTAGGCAGCAGAAAGACAAAGAGATCAGGATTTTAATTTGTAGTTGGGCAAGATTTAACTGGCATTGATGATATATTCAGTCTGTATGAGTTTATGGAAAGTATAATAGCGCATTCGTCACTGTTACCTCATGTACCGCTATGCTGAACATGATAGTAGAGCTGTTGGAGAGTCTCTTTTTGACACATGAATTCTGCTCGACTGCGAAGAGTGTACAGTGCAACAGACATTCGCAGGATTGGCTGAACTAACTTTGAATCTCTTATTTCTATTTTTGCTCAGATCTCCGCCGACGATGTGGAACCCATCTTTAAAACGATGGTCAAGGAAAAGATAGTGAAATCACCAGTGTTTGCCTTCTATATGTCTAACAAACCCGGAGATGGCAAAAGCGAGGTCAGTTTGCCAGTGTGTTCCCAATATCGCGTTGAGCAAAATGCAAATTGTATGTGCGCGTTACTTCTGTGTGGCGGTCAGTCAAGATAGTGTATCGGATTTGTGGTCGTGTAGATTTTGTGACCGTTGGACCGTACTGATTGAAATGCAAGGGCTACACCCATGCAACGCTATACAAGAAGATATTTGCGAGATTATTTCTCCTTTTGCAACCGCAACGTTTGAAATGAAGAGATTGGATGTCTTAGCTCGAGTCGATTAACTTCAACTATTCGCTCGAAGTGAAGTGAGACAATACTCATATTCATTGTTAGGACAGAAGTAAATAGAGGTATATAGTGCTATTGGCTGTGAACGCCTAAGTCGCTACTTATAAAGTGCTACCCTATCAGTTCAATTTCAAACCCACTCACATACGTACGAGAGGATCTATCTTAGCAGAGTAGGCTTGTATCACCCGTGTATTAATCTCGTACTTCACTACCACCTTGCATGCTCACCCGATATGCGAATATGTTGTACTCGGCTTCGATATTGACTGGTTGTTGTGGGAAGCTAGCTTACCAAATTCTACAATATCTATCGTTTATTCTCTGTAGATGACTTTGGGTGGCACTGACGAGCGTAAATATATTGGTAACATCACCTGGCATCCGCTTAGCAGTGTGGACTACTGGAGCATCAAAATGACGCAACTCAAGGTATGGACTGGATCAGGCACTTAGCTCTAGATTATAAGTGATAGTAAGGACTTTTTATGTATGTCGATCTCGCAGTGCTCCGATTCCAATATCTACCTGCCGTGCTACAACATTTCGTGTTGAAATATTCTGTTCCCATATGTGCTAATAGTTGCATACTCTTACCAGGTCAACAAAACAGTCATCTCGGCAGCCCCAGTCCACGCTATTGTCGATACCGGTACCAGTCTGGTACGTTAGCTGCACAGATTGGGTCGCTTACTTGGCATATGCGTGGCCATCTGGAGATAACGCATCGCAAGTACACTTACATATATTGTAACGCAGTATATTCAGGGATTGAGTTAGAATGTCCGTTCATTGCTAGTTGTAGTTTGTGGGGTTTTATGGACCGAACCATATGTCAAAGGCTGCTTTGTTGAGCTGTTAGATACATGATTGGTTCCGTATACGTCTCTCGAAGAATACGTTTTTGACCTTTTAGGACGATTTGTATACAGATTGCGGGGCCATACTTCGCTGTATCTATGTTGCTCGCTAGACTCGCAGTCAAACGGGACTGCAGCAATTTCGAAACCCTTCCTGAGCTATCGTTCGAAGTGGAGAATTCAACCTACACCCTGAACGGAGGTGATTATGTAATTAAGCAAAAGAATCCTCTCACACAAACGGATGAGTGTTTCCCTGGTATTCAGGTGAGGGTGTTTATACGTGAAATTTTTAGAACGCTCCCGAATATCTCAGACATACCCCATACTAGCACAACATAATCAAATCTTAGTGCGTAGTGTGTCGATCCATCTATCGCTTTCAAGTGCATACGATCATATATTGGCGACCATTCATATATTTGAACCGTAAAATCCAACTATTGCACACTTTTATACAATACAGCCAATCGGTATGGACCTTTGGATCTTGGGAGATGTCTTCCTGAGAAAGTATTACAACGCCTACGACTCCTCGGCACCTCCTAAAGTTGGCTTCGCACTTGCGGATCACTCGGATGATTGAAAGGTTAGGCTCTTGTGAGTCACTCGGATGGTTGAAAGGTTAGGCTCTTGTGAGTCACTCGGATGGTTGAAAGGTTAGGCTCTTGTGAGTCACTCGGATGGTTGAAAGGTTAGCATGCCCATACAATGTGTATGTCGCGAGCCTACACAAAATTTAATAGTAGCCTCTTCCAAATTAAAAGATTATCCCTCAGAACCCACCAAAAAATAATATATTTATGCAAACGCAATCGTGTTATTTAGTTTAAAGACAACGCTATCATTAACATTTGTGCTTTTTACAAGTTTGTTACTTGCTGCGATTTATACACTCCTCACGTACCATCTGCACGACAATACGCTATAAGGGTTGAGATAAACGGCACCCGTATATATAGTGTGCGCAATGTATATGTGTACCACGTCGGCAATAAGCATTGCCCCAAATGGATTTTTCCGACATAAATAATTGTGGTGGCACCGCACATGTTACAAGCGTGACGCCACGCAGATCAGCCGAACGACCAATTTATCTAATAGCATTAAACATGATTGGGAGTTATATGATCCCGGCAGTAAATTGACGTCTATTTATAAGCTACAAGATAGAAGCAAGATTCGTTGCATTTACCTTTCGTTCTACCCCAACCTGTTTGTGTGCCGCCTTGTCATTTCCACGGGTGAAATTGGTCACCATATTGTCAACACGCAAGATTTATGAAGCCCTCGTCAATGGACGTAAGTTTCAGCCCAGCAATACACAATTATAGTAGATAGATAGGAAAGCAGGAATCTGTCCGCCCTCTATTTCATCCACGTCTGGTCTCCAGGGCATATCAACCAGATATACCATCACTATAAGCAAAGGTCACTGGCTAGCCTGTCGCCGTTCCGGCTATCGCGTGGAGTCAGCGCATGCTTGGTAAAAATGACCGACCACGAACCGTCAGCGGTGCAACTCATTTGTTATGGGAAAAGACGCGCAAAGTGTATAGCGGTGTAGATCATGCATATTTTGACTGTATTATGATTCAAATTGACGTCAAATAACACTCCTTGATAAAATACAGTGGGTTTATTATAGCAGAGTAATCATGAACAGCACTTGTTTACAAATTTCCGCTTTCAAAAGGTAAGTATTCAACTGTCCGTACCAAGTAGCATACTCGATAGGTTGTTACATGATTTCGACTTTTTTCCTCTAAAAGTGTTACTCGGTGAGTTGCTTAGTCGGGGTCCTACAAACGAGTTCACATTGAAATCGTTATCCAAAATTGCATTCAAGTCCATTTTCAGGCCTTTCTCAGACAATAAGGCCTGAGAACTGGAGCGCAAGCGGTTGACGAGTTTACCAGGTGCCGCGACAATTAGCACCTCCAAAGTTTTACTACAGTTTTGTGAATCACCTATAATCTTCAACAAATCCCGGGCTGTAGTGCCAACCGTATGTCTGTTACCAATACTAATGATTCGCTGGCCAGGTCTTAACCCAGCCAAAGCCGCCATACTCCCAGGCTCGACACGAGCAATTGTGCCGTCTTCGATAAAAGAGAGACCTATCAGCCTTTTCTTTTTGGGCCGAGACGTACTGCTTGTTTCCCCATCACTGTCATCCGCATACAAGGCAAGGGTATGTTCTGTGAAGCTTGTTTTTTCAATGAGTTCAAGTGACAGTGTTCGACTAGAATTTAGCGCAGCATACACCTCGGTGACATCCCCTCGAAATTCCTTTGCTAGAATTCCATTGATACTTGTGATCTCATCACCGAAACCAAGGCCAGCTTTATAAGCGGTTGAATACGTTGATGAATAATATTTATCGACCCATGCTACGAACAAACGGTCTTGATGAAGCACGAACCCCGCCCCGAACTTTTTGAAATTGTGGGCCACACTGACCTCACGTTTGGACGGATACTTCTCCGCTTCACAGCTCTCTGTACCTGGCACTGACAGAGACAGGAGACTGTTCTTCCCTGCATAAACTGAAATCGGAGACATCTTCCTTTCAATTTCCGTTCGGTTCGAGCACTATGTTGACTTTAACTAATACTGTACCAGATATTTTTATGTGATCACCCACCAGCTATTGTATGTGATCACCTTGTATGTGATCACCTGTACACTATTTGTCAGTTAATTTATAATAATAAAAACTCATATGAAGTACAGTTCTATGTAAATATATGAGCGGTTGTCGACTCTGTGTTTGTATTTATATTATACAAAACCTCTCAGCGACTCACACTCACATCAACACCATGCAAGAGGTTTAGAAAATTTGCACTAAAAATGAGTATCTGTTAGACTGTTTGTATAACTCTATATAAATAAATAAATGTGCATCATACAATAAAATATAATATTGTTTGTGACAAGCAAACACCGAATCTCTCTGTAGAGACTCTCAAGTTTCTCACAACACGTCTCTGAAGGCATGATTATAACTGGTGACTGATGAGCACCGCTCCACTACACCAGCCATATTACTGCCTCTTGCCCGGAGGCGTCCGCGGCGAGGCCTGATGTCTAATGAGTGATAACAAGTGATATTAAATAAAGGGCTTGATGTTGACGGTTGAGCTATACATAATCAAAAACTCACACCTCCAAAGTACAAAATACTCTTTGTGGGTATAATCATATCAACAGGTAGACGTTTTTCATAGGGCAGCAATTGCACCGAGCAACGGGAAACTCCACTATTCTTCCCCTATACTTCCTACTACAGCAGCCAGGCTGAGCAAGCCTGCACACTCCACCGGTCCACCCTATAAAATTTATCGCTCATTTATCATTGGACAATCTTAGCTCTCTGTAATTACCGTGCACCTTTTTTTTAAATAATCATTAGTTCTGTACTGTATAGTACTTTTTTTCTCTCTATACATAGTGTAGACTGTAGACTGTACAGTGTAGTGTGTAGGCTGTAGAGTGTAGACTGTAGAGTCTGTACTCTGTCGACTGTTCACTGTTCACTGTTCACTGTTGTCTGTAGACAGTAGTCTGTAGACTATAGACTTTATATAGAGTGATCAAAGATTTTTTTTCGTTTATGTGTTCCTTTTGTTTCAGTAGTATTTAGTTACTTTTTTAAAAACAAAATTGTTTTTAAATATCATGATGATGACTGATGACTGAGTCACTGACAGGGCTGACACTCATGACAGCCTGACAGCCATTTTATTGATATAAATTATTATTTTTTCAAGTTTTTTTGTAAATATATAGATACTAAATCTAGTAGAGCACATTAATGACTACATGTGCCAACGATCAAATTGTTCTTTTTTTAGTTTTTAACAAATGACAGTCTGAGTGTCTGTCACTCTGACAGACTGAACTTCTGAAGCTTGGACACGCACAAATTATCCCGGACTCCCTGTACCGATATATTTGTGAAGACTGAAGATTGAAGACATGTGATGAACTAAAGACTGATGACTGATAACAGATTATTACAGATGAGGTTGTGTGCGTGACAAATCACAAAATAAGGGCTTTGGGAGCAGGAATTTGCTCCGGAGTAGAAGGGTTCAGAAATGAACCTTAATAATATACTATTTACGATAGTTACCGACGGACAATAGGTGAAGGGTTGTAGTAAATTATAGATAAAGAACACAAAAGACTCCAAGAGGTGTAAGCTCAGACTCTCAATGTTCTGATAGGTTCAGGTTTATGTAAACCGGGACTGGATGTAGGATAGGCTTACAAATGTGCTGGGTGGCAAGCATAAACTTGCACCTGTAAGGCTGTAAGTTGTGCCTAATCTGGACGTTTAGTGTTTCAGAAGGAGATGTTGTCACCCAATTAGGGATGATAGTTTATATGATAGATATCTTTGTACGTAGCCAGTGTAATAAAGGTTAGCAAGTATGATAGCAGAAGAAGCCTTGGGGCTGTGGCCCATGGAAGGGGCTCAGCAGAATGCTCATAACGAAGAGTATAAATACTGAGGATTTGGCTGCAGAAAGGAACAGTGCTAGCGGGTATATAACTTGTTATCTAAACTATATATATAAAAGGTTTTTGCTGTGAGTAATATAAATTGCGTCACTGATTTCCTCTTAACTACGGCTCAACTTACTTTCTTGTGTACACAGAACAAGATAACATTACCCTACGAACATTAGTATGTTGAAAGTAGTTAATAATATGGAGAAGATAAGGGCAAAACTCTCAGCAACAAGAAGAACGAAAGTAATAACGTTTGGAACAATACTCAGTCGGCAGTTACGGGTGTAGAAATACGGCCTCCGGTCAGTCTAAAATATCAAGATCAAATGAGATAACGCATTAGTTTTATATGTA